GATAGAGAGAGAGAGGGAGAGAAATACAGTAGATAGGTAGGGAAAGAGAGAGAGTAGGTAGGTAAGTAGGTAGATGGAGAGAGAAAGAGGAAATACAGTAGGTAGGGAGAGACAGTAGGTAGGTAGGTAGATGTTTCCAGATCTATTTATCCCTGTGCTGGAGAAGGAAATCGCTGACAATCTGCAGCACCTAAGACTTTGTTTCTGCTGGCACAGCACTTGATCAATGTAATTCTCATCAATCATTTAAAGAGCTTTCCAAAAGGGTGGGGACTTTTTGCACTCTGCAAACCTCCCCAAAATGGGTCCATTTTTTTTAAAGGCCATTTTCGCAAAAATGGGCCCGCTTTTTGTCCAAAAAATTGCATGCAAAGCCTTATGGCGGCTTATACAGTGCGGCTGGGGGCAGGGGGGGGCAAGAAACAGCCCATTTTTTGCTCATTTCTACCCTCCCCAGCCCCCAGGAGCTTTCTGAGAGCCTCCATAAGGGTATGCATGGTCATTTTGGTGAAGGAGGCGGGGCTTCGGCACAAATATTTACTTTGAAATAAATATACACACATATACATTTATTCACACACACACACACACCACAGTTATTGCATACATATCCAAAATAATATAATAATAATATTAAATTCCCTATTTAAATCAGTAGCAATGAGAAATAATAAAAGACTCACCATCCATCACCATATAATGATAAGGTTGGTATAGGTTTATTTCCAGTGGAAGAGTGTTCTGCATATATTTCAGCCTGCATTACCAACTTTGCTATAAGTTCGAGATTATATGTCTGTTTTGCTGGACAAAAGGACTTTTTAGAAGGCATTCTAAAAGAATTATTTTAATTCTTATGAAGGATCATGTTGTTATCTAGATCAGCTACCTGAGTGGCAAACTTAGCCATCTGCAGCCTCAGATTCTTGAAACTCTGAATGCTTTAGTGGATCCTAAGCTTTTGTCCCTGGATAGGAGTAAAGTCCACATCTTACTACAAAATGGAAAGAGGTAAGCAAGTCTATCTTCACTCTGTTCAATTATCTTGTTCATGTAAGTTCCAGTAAGCCATTTTCTTGAATTATATAACAGTTACACTACTTATTACAACAAATTGCTTAAATCAAATATTAGGCAGGGGGTAAAAGCACTGTAGATTGTTATCTTGAATACCGAATTGATTTGTTCACTTGTACTTGATGCAGTTAATATCTTTTTTGATTTAACAGTTTAACATCACATGGTTGTGGAAATAAGACAATATAAATTATTACTGAAACAGATGAATTGCTTGAGGCTGATATAAAAATAAGCTACCTAAATTTCTGCTTTAATTTTTATATTACAAATCTATTAGCATGACAAAGAGAAATGTTTTGCTGCCTCTGAAAACTAAAAATTAACAATAGCAGAAAATCAGATAATAGTCATTTTTAAAAGTCTTAAATAGAGCAATTTTAAAATGCTGCATTAATGTAATAGAAAAATATTAATCTAATAGTTGTATAGCAACTATACAACTAAAATGCTGCATTAATGTAATATAAAATGCTGCATTAATGTAATATAAAAATATTAATCTAATAGTTGTATAGCTATTATCGCTTAATCTTTTCTGCTACATTAGAGTGGTAACCAGATTCTTACAAGTCCCAGCTGACCTGTGAAGGCAAAGATGGTCTTTTGGGTAGCAACTTCATTACATATTAAATGAAAGATATTTTTGTATCTGTTAAACCAGATGACATATTCTTATTTCAGTGGCTTCATATAACACGAAGCTGCTGTAAATGTTTATGGATAATGAGCATTCCTTTAAGCATAAACGATCCACATTATTGCTCAGCTGTGAAGAGATTTCAAGAATGACTTGCACTTTGGATTTTGACTTGACCCAGAAAGAAGTAAGCTCATGTGTACAAACAGATCTTCAAAGAAATATTGGGTTAATTGGAGAAACTTGGTATGTTTTGTGATAAGTTTTGTATGCTTTTATTTTTCAGTTTGTCTGAATTAGAAACTGACCTTAAAGTTTTCAAAGAGACGATATTGGAAATCCTAGATGACAAAGAAGTCATGGAAGAATTGTGTCTGACTAAATGGACAGATCCAGAAGTCTTGTAAGTATAAGTTGTAAAAGAGTGTTTCACTTCAAAGATTTTGAGATGGAGGAAGCATAAGTTCCTTATTTTTTTAAACTGGTCAGGTTTCCAAATGTCTTAATTTTCCACTGCACATCAAATGCTATTTTATCAGAAACCAATTGACCATTGCCTGACAATTACTTTGCTACTAGTTAATGACTTGTGACCTTGAAAAATACGTAGTTACTGTAACATAGAAAGGCTGACAAATGCATTTCATTGGGCTCTTTTCAAAATCTGTTTGATTATCCACTTAACAATAGAATTCTGTCACATGCTGTATTTCAGTCAAATTAGGGTTGATTGCATTATTTGCATATTTAACTGATTTTCTTGAGTACAAATGGAATATAAATAAAAAGCAGAACCCTGAATACCGTTCAGATAATTCACACCGGACTAGAAAAGCAGTTCTGTTGAGTTTTGGCTCCCTCAGTTTGCTAAAGTAAGATCACTGCTAATAAATTCTTCCACTGAAATCAAAATGGCCAGGCCAATTCCATTGGAAAAAAAATGAGATCCAGCAGATAACTTGCAACGGAGAAAACTTCTAGGGCTTAACGATTAATTCCAGGACTTTAAACACTGCACCAGGAAGCCGGTTAGAAACCAGTTCAGAGCCCACAGTACTGGTGTGATGAGCTCCCACCAATGAATATCAGTGAGCACATGAATTGCTGTGATCTGGATCAGCTGCAGACGTCAAACAATCTTCAAAGGCAGTCCCATGCAGAATATGATGTAGTAGTCTTAAATTGGGTTGATAAGGATATGAGTCATTGTAATGAAACATAATGCTTTCATAGCCATTAAAACCATCATTCTCATATAAAAACTATAATTTTATAGAAAAATCCTGGGTGTTTTACCATCCATTAAAAATATCATTAACTTATCAATTTGTTTAAAAAATATAAATGGAATTAACACAACAAATACTAGCAAAAAGTGTTTAAACCATGAAGTTATATTCATTTCATACATTCTTCTCCACAAAGTCATTTTCACTCTTCTCTTAATATCCTCTTTTATTTGAGCTGTATAATGTGAAATAATCACTTGTACATAACAGGATTTTCTCAAGGTCAAAGTATTGTTTTGCCTCATTGTAGCTACCTTATCACCACTATACAGGACATTAAATTTATTCAATATAGTACTGCATATCCACAACATTTACCACATTATTGTACCATTATGCTTCTTATTAAATATATGTTTATCCATTTATCTTCTTTGTTTTCTGGGTAAAGATAATTTATAATCATTAAAAAGGCCCAAGGTAAGTTTGGTTACAAGCTTGTATTCCACATGAATTATTAATAAGGCCATTCTAGTTTGAAGATCCCACTTTAAAAATATTTTGAAATATAAAACCCACAGAATAAGAACAGAATATGATCTGTTCGGTAAACAAGTTAATCAAGAGTTAATCATAAGTGCTAGATATCTGTACAATAAGTACATAGTGTTTCATCATCTGGGTAGAAAAACATTTTTTCTGCCGTAAATGAAAGCCCCAATTGGGATATGCATGACATGAGATGACAGTGTTGCTGATCCAATGTAAGTCTAAAGATTCTTCTTAATTGCTATATACTCTGAACACTACATTCATAGTAGATGTCATTCAAGTGATAGTGATCTTCAGATTTTTAATACTGCTAGAAAGAAGTGGATAAAAAGTGAATTTTCATTTACTGTTTTATTGCCATATACTATCACTATAGGTTCTGTTTGCAATGTGTCTTATGTTTATTGTTCACAGTGAGGCAAGTCTGTCTGGAATTGACCATGTGGAGGAGATGGAACTCCTATTGGAAAATTACTACAGGCAGGCAGAAGATCTAATGAATGAAACCCGGGAACTTAAAATACTGATTGATGATTCTGAAAGTATCATCTTTATCAACTTAGACAGGTTAGCTGTGTGGAACATATTGTTAAAATTTAACACGTTTTAAAATTGACATTTAGATTAAAAATAGTTCTGTTTATAAAGCTTTTTCTCAGAATGAAATGAATAAATTTATTTTGTGTTCCTATAAATTATTTGGTTGTTTTAATAAATTATATTGCTATGCACATTCCATTATCAGTGCTTAACTTGACAAAGCCTCTTTTGGTTTTGATGAATTGTTTTTTTGAATTAAGCTAATGGTTCTAAAGATGGACTAATAGATTTCTGTCAATAATGAAATCAACCTAACTGTAAGCTTTTCTGGCTACATAAACCTTTGTAACGTAGAAAACGTCGTAGGCAAGTTAACGAGCATGTATGTCAGTTTGCCATTAGCATTGTGCCCATCTGCCATTTTTGTACATGTTTTAAAAAGTCAGCATCCAAATTTCCACTAATGAAGCTTGTGTTAATCAGGTCTTCACACATATCTTAAACAGGTTGCACAGCTGTTCCATTAATTCAGTGCACTCTGGCCACCTCTGACACACAAACACAGAGCAGAACTTCTCCATCTTCTTTCCCGGACCCTTCCCACTCTCTCGGCCTTCCGAAAGGCCACAAAAACCTGGCTATTCCGGCAGGCCTGGGGCTGTTGACCTCATAAATGAGGTCCAGCCCCACCTAGATTGAGTGTATGATGTGTTGCTTTTTAATCTGTTTTTCTCTTTCCTTTTTTAACTTTTTATCTTTTTAGTCTTGTATTTTGTAAGCCACCCGGAGTCCTTCGGGATTGGGTGGCATATAAATTCATTAAATTTACAATTTAATTTAAATTTCTCTTGCCACAGAGGAGGTGTGCCTGCTGTGGCAGCTGCTGAACCTTTATTGCCCTCTGTGAACAACAGCTTCCTTGGTAGGCTCACCTCTTCAGCAGTGGGAAGAAGGTCAGCTGAAGATAACAGGGACAGCAGAATGCAGGGTTGCCAAAAAGGCCTTCTTGGATAGTGTTTTTCAAACTTGGCAGTTTTAAGATATGTGGACTGATGACTTCTGGGAATTGAAGTCTTAAAGGTGCTAAGCTTGAAAAAAACTGTTCTACAGCAACAGTAAAATTAAATGGACGGTACCATAGGTTGAGCTAAACTGTGTAACTGGTAGTAGCTAGTGGTATATTTGAAGGAAAAAAACCAGTTGTAAACTGGGTTGTTACTCCTAGAAGCAAGCACAAAAGAGCATCACTAAAGTTGTTTACATCTCTGCACCAAATGTTAACGGTCACATTTAATCCTTCAATTTAACAGAGTTATATTTTATCTTTTTAAGCCACCGTAATGTTATGATGAGGTTGAACTTGCAGCTGACCATGGGTACTTTTTCAATCTCGCTTTTCGGATTGATAGGAGTAGCATTTGGTATGAATTTGGAATCATCATTTGAAGAGGTGAGAAACAGTACTGAAAACAACATTTCTAGATACGTTTGTAAAATATTCCAGTAAAACCACAGAGGCTGCTTTTAATTGCATTGTTGCATTAACTGGCTATTAGAACTTGACAATAGAATATTTGTTGTTTAATAAATATCATGAGAGCATTGTTTCGGACTATTTATGCTCAAGCTATTTAGGGTTTTTTATGGGTTGAATAGCAGCCGAACTTGGTTTCATGTCAGACTCAGAGGTGGGTTTCTGCTGGATCGCCCCGGATCGGGCGAACAGGTAGTGATGGTGACGGGAGGCTCTGCCAGCTCGCCCGGACGCAGAAGCGTCACGCGAGTACGCCAGCGCGCACGAGCAAACCGGTAGTAAAATAAATTGAAACCCACCACTGGTCAGGTTAGATCAAAAGGCTGGCAATTCAACTTGGTGAAAGCTGCACTAATGATCATAACCATATCTGAATAAAAGCTTTCTTTTTTAGCCAGCCCTCTTTAAAGGGCAGAAAAGGTTTCTGCATGGTCCAATGGATTAAATGGGGGGGGGGGGAGAAGCTTAAAGCCATTGTCTTTGTTTAATGAACTCCAATGGGAAGGAAAGGATCCAGTGTATATGCCGGGGATCTCTTCACTTTCCATGTCATTCCCATGGGACTGATGTATTAAATGCTATTCCTGGATAAGCCAAGGATATGAGCCAAGGTGGCGCGGTGGTTAAATGCAGCACTGCAGGCTGACTGCTAGATCAGCAGTTCAGCGGTTCAAATCTCACCGGCTCAGGGTTGACTCAGCCTTCCATCTTTCCGAGGTGGGTAAAATGAGGACCCGGATTGTTGTTGGGGGCAATATGCTGACTCTGTAAACCGCTTAGAGAGGGCTGAAAGCCCTATGAAGCGGTATATAAGTCCACTGTTATTGCTATTGCTATAAATAAATCTGATATCCTCAGTTAAGAGTCATTTAAAAAATGCAGTTAGATTTAAAAACTAACAAAGAGTTTGAGATGGGAATCATTCATTGTGTACTCTTACCATATTAGAACCATGGAATGTTCTGGCTGGTGACAGGAATTATGTTCCTAGGCAGTGGCTTAATTTGGCGGCGCCTGTTGACATTTCTTGGAAGGCATCTAGAACCATCAATGCTTCCACCAGTAAGTATGCTTTCACTATTACGACATTAAGCTACCTCATTCCTCCCCAACGTTTTAGCTTAATTCTCATAAGCCGGTATATCGGGAATAAAACCATCAACAAAACTCAGCTTGAATCATGAGTACCGTATAATATTTTTCTAATATTTGATCAGATTCTTGTCTTCCTGTAACTTCAGGGTGTTATTCCCTGTTCTGCATTCTGGGATTATAGAGGACAGCTGTGATCTGATTTTTTTGTGATGACCTGGAAAGAGAATCATTTTTCTGTATCTGTTGTATGGAATTGAATTGAATTGAATTGAATTTATTTGATTTATATGCCGCCCTTTTCCCCGAAGGGGACTCAGGGCAGCTCACAATCCAAGTCAAGGGAAGGGGTACAAATAGAGAATAAAAAAAGACGAACAAAACAATACACAATGTAAAAGCACACAACAACCATACCATTCGAGGGGGGGGGGGGCAAAAGCTCTTTAGCCCCAGGCCTGTCGGAATAGCCAGGTTTTAAGGGCTTTGCGGAAGGCCTGGAGGGTGGTGAGGGTTCAAATCTCCACGGGGAGCTCGTTCCAGAGGGCCGGAGCAGCCACAGAGAAGGCCCTCCTCCGGGTGGTCGCCAGTCGGCATTGGCCGGCGAATGGAATTCGGAGGAGGCCTAATCTGTGGGATCTAATCGGTCTATTGGAGGTAATTGGCAGCAGGCGGTCTTTCAAGTACCCAGGTCCAATACCATGAAGGGCTTTATAAGTGACGACTAGCGCCTTGAAGCTTATTCGAAGACCGATAGGCAGCCAGTGCAGCTCGCGGAGGATAGGTGTTACGTGGGTGAACCGAGGTGCACCCACGATCGCTCGCGCGGCTGCATTCTGGACAAGCTGAAGTCTCCGAATGCTCTTCAAGGGCTGCCCCATGTAGAGGCTTACTTTGCCATGTATCTTGCTGGAGTATTTGATTTTTAAGTACATGAGATCCAATGTTCTGTAATGGCTAAGATTTTGGACTAGTACCAAGGAGACCCAGATTCAAATCCACCCTTGGCATGAAAGCCCTTTGGGTGATTTTGGCCTGGTCACTTTCTGCCACAGCTTCACCTGTCTCACAGGGTTGTTATGGGGGGGGGGGAGAGGGGGAATGAGAGGAGGGAATACACTATCTGAGTTACTGAATAAAAGATGGGATATCAATAAAACAAACAGAAGAATGAATTATTGTTTATGTCTAGTTCTCTGTATTTAGTCCAAGTGATGTAATCTATAAGCTTTATTCAGATCCTTATTTCTATTGCTTAGCTTTTTGTTCTTGGTAATGATTGCAAACATATTGATGATTTAAAATTATTTTGTATATGAGTATTCTTTACAGTATGGCTTTCCTACTGTGTCTACCTTAATTGTGCCTTTCTGCTGTGATTACAGCACCATATACTCTCTGAGACAACGCATCCCAATTTCAGGCAGAATTCTTAATAACAGCCAGAATAAACATATGCTTTCTGGCAGACTTTTGAAGAGAGGCTCCAATTTTAAAGAGTCAGATATAGTCCTTTAAGAGCTTATTTTGCTTAACAATGGTTATACACGGCTTAGCAGAGATACACATAATTGACAAACCTCCATTTGATTCTGAGAGCATATTTTAGGTATACATAGTTGTTGACTGCAAAGGGATGTGGTGGCTCAGTGGCTAAGACGCTGAGCTTGTTGATCAGAAAAGTTGGTGGTTCGAATCCCTAGTGCCGCGTAACAGAGTAAGCTCCCATTACTTGTCCCAGCTTCTGCCAACCTAGCAGTGCGAAAGCATGTAAAAAATGCAAGTAGAAAAATAGGGACCACCTTTGGTGGGAAAGTAACAGAGTTCCGTGCACCTTCGGTCATGCTGGCCACATGACCACCGAGACATCTTCGGACAGCGCTGGCTCTTTGGCTTTGAAACGAAGATGAGCACCACTCCCTAGAATCAGGAACGACTAGCACATATATGTGAGGGGAACCTAGTTGTTAACTAAGGAACAAGCCATATTTTCCATTTGCACCTTAATTGGATAAGACTTCACTCTTTCCAAGGATACTATATTTAATGTTTGACATATTTTAATGAAATAGTTATATGCT